AGGTGGGATAACTTGCCCTACCAGATATCAGCTTTTGCCAAAAGCCATTGTAATTAAGAGTGCAGTACTGGTACCGGGATAGGCAAGCAGACCAATAGAGCTCAGTGACAAACCCTTGATACATGGACATGTGATTCACGACAGATAAGGCATTACAGAGCAGGAATCGATGTTCTTTTCAATAAAAGGCTCTGGGTCAACTAGGTCTCTATATTGAAAAAAATGAAACTGGCCCCTACTTCATGCCATGTGTAACAATCAATTCCAAATGGACTACAGATAAATGTAAAAGGCAAAACAATAAAGATTTTAGAAAATAGAAACTATCTTCATGACCTTGGGGTGGGAAAAAGTTATTCAAAAACTAAAACACATCATCCATAAAGGAAAGTATACACATGACCTTAGTTCTCACAGCAGAAGAACACAGGGGCCAGCTTCAAGGAGCTTCCATTGGCTAAGGATAATCTGAGCATAAAAATAAATAATAACTGTAATGGATTACAAACCATTGGGTAAAATAGGAGTCCATGAATAATCCATATTAATAAGAGATGAAATAAATCTCCCCAAAAGTAGGCTCTTCCCTTAGAGTAAAATGCCAACTGATGTGAAGTGAGTGAGGTAGTTAAGAAGTAATATTTTGTAAACATCAAGTATGGATTAGTTCAGAAAAGATACATCAAGGACCAGCCTGTGGCTCACTTGGGAGAGTGTGGTGTTGATAACACCAAGGCCACGGGTTCAGATCCCTATATAGGGATGGCCAGTTTGCTCACTTAGGATAGTGTGGTGCTGACAACACCAACTCAAGGGTTAAGATCCCCTTACTGGTCATCTTTAAAAAAAGAAAAGAAACATCAATGCATGCTAAATCAAGGAGAAAAAGCATAATGCATAGCAGAATATCTGCATGGTCTCAAAGAATCTGTCCAAATAGTACTAATAAGTTACAAAGGGAAAAGAAGTAACTCCACAATAGAGAACTCAGACACCACCTTGAAGGGGTTATCAAAATAATATCGCTAATAGGGCCGGCCCAGTGGCGCACTGCTGCAGTGCGCCGCTTGGGAGCGCGGTGGCGCTCCCGCCGAGGGTTCGGATCCCACATACAGCCCGGTTCCCGCTCACTGGCTGAGCGAGGTGTGGGAGCAACACCGAGGGTTGCGATCCCGTTGCCGGTCCCAGTCCGGTACGGGCGCGACACTGAGGGTTGCGATCCGTTGCCGGACACGAAAAAGGACAAAAAGGAAATAAATAAATAAATAAATAATAATAATGATATCGCTAATAAAGGGCAGATGAGCATCAGTTGTCTCCAGGTGTGATAATCTGAGGAGGATACACATCGCTTACGCAGTAGACAGGCCAATATCTAACCTGTATATAATCCTGAAGAAACATCAGATAAACCCACACTGAGGAACAAAATAATCTTGTATCCTTCAAGAATATCAGTGTCTTGACAAAGAAAGTACGAAGAATTGTTTCAGATTAAAGGAGACTAATGAGATATGACAACTAAATGTAATAGGTGATCCCCAAATGGATCCTGTATTGGAGGAAGAAAATGCTTTAAAAGGACACTATTGGGACAACTGACAAAACTAGAATATGGATGGCACAGTAGACTAAAAGCATTACATCAGATAGACCATGTTAGGCCAAAACACAAGTCTTAATAAACTTTCAAAGACTGAAACCAATCACGATGGAATGAAACCAGAAATAAACATAAGGAAGAAAACTAGAAAATTCACAAATACATGGAAATCAAATGTCACATTTTTAAACAATGAGCCAAAGAAGATATAACAAGGAAAATCAGAAAATACCTTGAGACAAATGAAAATGAAAACATCAAAACATATAGGATGCAGTGAAAGCAGTGCAAAGAGGGAAATGTGTAACTGTACACACATTAAAAAAGAAAAAAGGTCTCAAAATAACCTAACTTTATACCTTATGGAATTAGAAAAAAAGAACAAACTAAACCCAAAGCTAGCAGAGGAAAGGAAATAGTAAAGATTAGAGCAGAGATAAATAAAACAGAATAGAAAAATCGAGAAAGTTAACAAAACCAAGAGTTGATTCTTTGAAAAGATCAACAAAATTAACAAACCTTTACCTAGATATGAAGATGCCGATACTACCCAAAGCAATCTACAGATTCAATGCAATCCCTGTGTAAATCCCAATGACCCTTTTAACAGAAATAGAAAAACCCATCCTAAAATTGACATGAAATCTCAAGGAATTTCAGATAGTCAAAACAATCTTGAAAAAGAACAAAGTCGGAGGTCTCACACTTGTTGATTTCAAAACTTACAACATAGTCAAAACCGTGGGACTGGCATAAAGAAAGACATATACACCAAAGGGAGAAAAAGAGCCCAGAAATAAACCCTCACATATACAGTCAAATGATTTTTGACAAGGGTGCCAAGACCATTCGATGGAGAAAGAACAGTCTTCTCAACAAATGGTACTGTGAAAACTGGATACCCACATGCAAAAATATGAAGTTAGACCCCTACCTAACACCATATACAAAAATTAATTCAAAATGGATGAAAAATCTATCTGTAAGACCTAAAGCTCTAAAACTCTTAAGGAGAAAACAGGGCAAAAGTTTCATGACATTGGATTTGGCAGTGATTTGTTTAATGTGACAACACAGGCACAGACAACAACAAAAAAAAACCAATTCAAAGATGGACAAAGGACTTGAATAGAAATTTCCCAAAGGAAAATATACAAATAGCCAATAAGAACATGAAAAGATGCTCAAAATCACCTACCATTAGGGAAATACAAATGAAATGCACAATGAGATACCACTTCACTAGGATGGCTATTATTTAATTTAAAAAAAAAAAAAGGAAAAAGAAAAGTGTTGGTGAAGATGTGGAGAAATTGGAACTCTTGTGCATTGCTGGTAGAAATGTAAAATGGAGTAGCTACTGTGGAAAACAGTGTGGCGATTCCTCAAAAAACAAACACTAAAATTACAAAATGAGGGAGGGGGAAAAAGATGGCCTTAGCTTTAGAAATTGACCCTACACCTCTGTTCATAACAGGCAAGGATGAGAGGACTGGGGTAGCACTGGCTAGGTGTGTAAACATACATACACACACAAACACATAGATTTAGTGGCAAAGCTCAGAGAATTCTACTTTGTCCAGGAAGTAAGAGATGTGATCACCTTAATTTTTAAAACCCACCCCCATTATTGAACATTTATGTTGCTGTCAATCTGTCACTAAGAACAGAATAGCTGGGTCAAAGGGTAAGCGCTTTTCAAAACTTTTCAATTCCTACTACCCTCAGGAAAAAAGTATTTCCCATTTATATTCCTTGTAGAATTGTTCTCATATCGAATGACTATCATTACTTTTCTTCCCCAGTCTTTCTGTCTTGGCATTTATTGTTCATTTTTATTTATTTTTAAGAGGAACGGTTGATTTTTTTTTTAAAGTATGTTATCAAATTGAGTGTAATTATCCACATTTAAGTTCAAGTATGCTTCATTTCTGTCTTGGCATTTATTGTTCATTTTTATTTATTTTTAAGAGGAACGGTTGATTTTTTTTTAAAGTATGTTATCAAATTGAGTGTAATTATCCACATTTAAGTTCAAGTATGCTTCATTTAAAAATCATCTTAAAATATTATTCCACTGAAGTCATATAATAAAGATATATACCTCTCAAAATGAAGTTAGAGATCAGATTTATCTATTATCATTATGGATAAAATATGAAAAAATGTAATAAAATGGCAAACAGTTAAAGAAATGAAGGTGAGACATCAGAAAAACTTCCCAATAAAACAGATTATAGAAAAGCCTTCCATGAGGGGCCAGCC